ATCAGTTATCTCCTGCTAATTTTCCCTCTGAAAGTTCTCCACTGCCTTAACCAGGAATTGAACTCACCTTCTTTGGGTCTGTCACTGGATCTAACCCACACCTTTATCCACTCCTTGAGGACATCTGGGTATGAACTTCTGAGTATTATAAACCTAATGTTTTCAGCATCATTTTTACCAGTGCTCATATTGCAATTTTTTGCTGTTATCATTACCAGAGTTCATATTGCAACTTTTGTTATCATTGCTTTTCTCTGGCACTCCTTATTACTGGTTCCCATATTGTATTTATTTCTATGCTTGGTCGGCTCAGGAGATTTTTGTGGCCTAGCATATGTGCTGATTCCTTAAGTTTACGAATTTTCCAATGGTGTTCCCTGTCTATGATCTCAACATGATCCCACAGGGGGCGGTGATCTCCTTCTCTCTCCATATGTGGTCAGCCACGCCTGATTTTTTGTACTTCCTCCTTATTATTATTATTATTATTATTATTATTATTATTATTATTATTTTCTTTGATTTCTGGCGTTTACACATTTCTTTCCGGGTCCCGCCCAGGGACCTAAGGTTAGAAATGGCGTCATGACACTTTCCACTGACAAAAAAAAAAAATTACATAGATAAAGCCCTTCGTAAGGTGTGGGCTGTACTTGTCAGAACAATCTTTTGTATCTCCTTGAGGCATGGACTTCCAGGAATCCCTTCAGTTAGTCTACTGGAATCTTTTCCGATTCCTAGGGCTCCAACTATAACAGGGATTGTCGATGTTCCCATATGCCATATATGCATATATCTATTTCAAGTTCCTTGTACTTTGACAACTTTTTGAATATCTTCAAAGATACATTGGAGTCAGCAGGGACTGCCATATCAATAAGGAGGCACCGTTTTTGTTTGTGGTATTTAATAACAATATCTGGCCAACAGTGGGTGCCAACACCGTACAACCTGATAAAAGATGATCAATCGTTTCTGGATATTTATCACAGAATCTGCATTTTGGGCTGACACAATATTTTAGTATATGTGCTTGATAATTCCTAGTTAGCAAGCATTTGTCCTGCGCAGCAAGGATAAAACCTTCAGTTTCCGGTTTCAGCCCTTCACTACTGAGCCACTGATGGGTACGGGTTTTGTCTACGTCAGCTTGTTTGGTACGGGCAGAGTATTGGCCATGAAGCGGTTTATCTTGCCATCGCTTCTGTAACTGGTCGGTTGCATTCGTCTTTGCTGTCCTTTTTAGGTATTTTGCAGTTTCAGCTGGTGTATTGTGCTGTAGTTGCATCTCTACGCCCATTTGAAACTCCATTTTGAATTTGTTGGCTTCTTTCATTACAGAGTAGAGACGCTTACTACTTTCATGTTCCTTGACGCATACTATCATCCAGTCTTCTGTAGTTTCAAAATATCTTTGGAGGCCAATTGTTGTAGTTTTGTAGGACAGTTCTAGTTGAACTAATCCTCTGCCTCCTTCGGATCTGGGCACATACAGACTATCGACATCAGCTTTGGTATGATGCATGCGATAGCAAGTGAGTAGCTTTCTCATTTTGGCATCCATTCGCTTAATTTCAGCTATGGTCCAGTTAAGGACATTAAAGCTGTATTGCACCACAGGGACAGCCAATGTGTTTTTGGCTGATATCCTGTTTTTTTGAGTTTAGCTCAGTATTTAGTACCAGACGTACACGCCTGTAGTATTCTTTTCTTATTTTTTCCTTCATTTGGGGGTGTTGTATGACATCTCCTTCCCTAATTTCTAGGTACTTATAAGCTTCACCATGCCCCAGTTCCCTAATTTTTGTGACAAAATCTAAATCTATTAAGGGTGTTTCTGTAATTCTACCTTTCTTGAAAGTTACTTTTGCACATTTATCTAATCCGAAGTCCATACCTATGTCGTCACTGAAGTATTTTACAATATTGAGGAGACCTTTCAACTCATTGTCGTCTTTGGCAAAGAGTTTGTGATCATCCATGTAGAGTAGGCGATTGAATATTTTCTTATTTATTTTGTAACCAGAGCTACTGTTGTTCAGTTCATGTGTAAGAGGGATTAAGGATAAACAAAACAGAAGGGGTGACAGAGAATCTCCTTGAAAGATTCCACGTCGGATACCAGACGGTTGGATATGGCAGTGCCCCCGTGTGACTAAGGTATAGTTTGGTGTTCCACATCCCATGCTGTGCTTAAGGAAATTTAATACCACAGGGGAGACTTTGTACATTTCCAAAGTCTTAAGGATCCAAGAATGTGGAACACTATCAAAGGCTTTACGATAATCAATCCACGCTGCACTTAGGTTCCTGCGTCGTCTCCTGCAATTTTCCAGGATCATTTTATTTATCAGAAGTTGATCCTTGCTGACATATGAACCTCTTCTGCATCCCATTATACGTTGTGGAGAGACATGTTATCGGTCTATAATTTTTCGGGTCGTCTGTTTCAGTTATTTTTGGTATAAGGTATGTCATACCTTCAGTAATCCATTCCGGGGTTTTATAAGGATTATTTACAAGCGTTGATAATGTTTTTGCAAGAATTTCATGGGTAGATGTGAGATGATACAGCCAGAAATTGGGCAACTTGTCACTTCCTGGGGATTTCCACTTTTGGGATTTCGTTAGAGCTTGCCTAACATCATCTGTGGATATATTTTCCCATTCTTGCAGAGGTGTATCCAGCATTCGTTCTTCTTCACGCCGTATCCACTCTGCATTTGGGTTATACTCCTTTGGGCTGCTCCAGATATTTTCCCAGAATGTCTGTACATTATCAATCGATGGTGGCCTTTCGACATGTATAGGTGTTTTTCCAATTTCCCTGTAAAATTTCTTAAGATCTGTTCGGAATATTTTATTTTGGCGATAGAACCTACAACGTTTTTCGTATCGTCTTGTTCTCTGCGCCTTCAGCTGAAGTTTCTGCTTCAGCATTTCCTTGATTGATGGAATATCAATTAGGGATTTAATGTTATATTTCCGCTTGATCTCTTTGAATTTACGTGTGGAAATATTAGGGTTTCTGGTGAGCTCATCTAATATAGAAAGCTCACATCTGATTTGTTTATTATTATTATTATTGTTGTTGTTGTTGTTATTGTTATTGTTATTATTATTATTGTTATTATTATTATTGTTATTGTTATTATTATTGTTATTATTATTATTACTACAACTACTACTAATATTATTATTATTATTATTATCTTATCACGTGTCAATCGATACTTGTTAGCAATCTGCATATCAGTAGTAACAGTAGCAGATGTTCCCACTGTGTTCACTGAATACCCTTTTAGTTAAAAAAAAAGAGAAAAAAAGAATAAACACAAAAGCTGTTTTTTTTTTTCGTTTGATTTTCTGAAGTTGTTATCTTGGCGGTCCTTTGAAAAAAGATGAAAGCGTTAACTTTATGGCGGTGTTCTCTTTCATTTTCAGGTGGGTTTAACTCTTTTTTTATGTTAATATAAATGCGACGATTAATCTCATTTTATTTAGCGCAGAAGGTTATGCATTTCTTGCTCGCTTGTAGTTATTTTTCTTACGGGTGTTAATTTATTTTTTTCTATGTTTTTTTTTTTTTACATTTTTATCACTTTCGTATTTTCATAGAGTTTCCCATCTGTTCTGGTAACGAACGTCAAAGATCCAAACCTCGATATATTTCCAACAAAAACGCGATTCCTAAATGCCTCCCTAAAATCACTTCCCCAGGTAAAATTTATGAATTATATTAAATATATTCTTCTTCATCTTATTATTGTTATTATTATTTGTTTAGGTTATGTTTCCTTCTTTGTATCCTGTAGAGCCGGGAACAAAATATGATCCCTAGACGCTATAGTAAAATGGTTATTTAATTTATAGCACTTATCTTAGTATATGGGATATTCCTAGTAGGTTGATATTCTGTAAAATTTGCATATTGATGTTACCTGGGACACTATTAGTGAAATTGTCTATTCCTTTTCTCACGTTGCTCCGATTACTATTGGTACAATCTCAGTCTTCATTCCCCATATTCTGTTAATCACAATCTCCATGTCCTTGTATTTGGACAATTTCTCGATAATTTTCATTGAGGTGTTTCTCTCAGATGGTACGGCTATGTCAATATGCATACACTTCCTTTGGTGCCGAAACCATCTCTTAGTAGTTTCGATTTTGTGCTTCTTGCATATCTGCCAGTATACATATGTCGCTATCTTGTTATATCCGTGGGTATATTCATTTTTTTTGCTAGTTCCGGACATCCTGAGATTATAAGGTCGACAGCTTCAACGTATTTTCCGCGGGTCCTGCATTTCGGGTTAGTTCTTTCCTTGATTATGTGACCGTGATAGGATCTGGTATCGAGACTTTAATTATTATTATTATTATTATTATTATTATTATTATTTATGTTGTATATAAATTTTCTTCTGGGTCCCAACCAGAGATCAAAGTTTAGATATGACTTCATGACATTTTCCACGAATGATTTTTGTTAAAAAATAGAAAAGCTTAGACCACACACATTTTACATCCTAAAAGCTCTTTGTAATGTGTGAGCTTTACTTCACTTTTTTTTTATTCAATGTAGAGTGCTCGGATGTTCTTTTCTAACTCCATTCTCGACTCATCTGGAATGCCGCTGTCAGAGCAAAAACTCTATTGAGTGATATGCGCATAAGCGTGTTAATGGTTCCTGACATCATTTCTAAATAAGACTCCACAAGGTAAAAACGGCTGTGACGGCCCCACCTCCCACAGTTGTTGTAAAGAAATGTATTCTCGAGCTGGTTCCTGTTAGCTCTAAACTTCAGAGCCTCGTTGCTTCATGCCTACAGCTTGATGGAAGACCTCGTCTGTAATTCTTGTTGTTAAGAAACTCTGGGGAAACTTCTCTCAAATTATCACCCTATTATCACTTGAGGCTCTGATAAATGCCAAATTGGTTTAGCATCTTAAACGGACGACCTCCTGCTTCGACAGTTCTACCCAACACTATGAAGTCTGAAGGCGGTTCGGTCCATGCACCCTTCCTGTCGTCGGAAGCCAGCAGCGTTCACTCGTCGTCTGCGTCGCTGTCGTAGACTAAAAGAACGCCACGTCATCGTCGCCCCGTCTCGTGGTTTTAGTTTGTCATGCTGACATTCTACGTAAGCTCAAGTGCCACAGTGTCAGGGGACGAAATATTTGGCTTTCTAATAGATCGTGTAATAAATGTGTATACTTCCAAATCATTTCATACTAACGCCCCCTTCCAAAGTCCTCAATCTTTGGAGCTGCATTGTTTCATCAATGATTTCCCATATATCTTTAGTTACAAAAAAGGTTTTTTATGAAAATGACACTTCAAATCCGACAGACCCGACCTTGTAAACCTGACAGTTAGTTAGATACACACTTAGGCGATCATGTGTCTTTCGATATATGACTGACGATGCAGATTTTTCCTGCAGTAGGCTGCCATTTCTTTCTGCGGTAGACCAGTTCCCATCCATGGTTATAGAACCCGGACTGTCCTGCTATTTAACCATAGCTGTTTGAGAACAAGAAGATACATACTATTCCCAAGGGTATTAGCACGTAAGTGAATGTAATGGATTCGACTGGAATTTGAACTCGGCTCTCCGAATCTTCAATCCGAGCCGCTATTTATTACTCCACCGTGCTTCTAGTCTTAAAAAGACTTCCAATCATGGGGAAAGAAATGGCTTGTACATTTTAGCTCTTCTGAGATAAAACTGCTTTCATTTAATCACCACAGAAAAGATTTCTGCCTGTCATCAGCTATACTGATGACAAGCAGAAAACTCCAGGACACTCTCCGCCGTTTTTTTTTTCTTTTCTTTTTTTTTCTTTCTTTGACCCGGGTTTTCCAGTGTCATGAGGTGCGGCGATTCTGTTAAATCAACTGCTATATCTACTGCAAGGAAAAGGTGGTACAACGTGTTGCGCCAGAATTTTTTTTCGCCATAATCAATATTGAACCTTTATAAATCTACAATTCGTTCCTGCATTTAATATTGTTACCATACCTGGTCTAGTTCTCCTGTTATAAATTCTTGACAATTCTTTTAAAAAAATTCAAATGTCAGTATGTAATGTAATCAATCCTGACCAGGCATTTCAACTTCGCTCACTTTCGCAACGACTAGACATATCTTCCCACAGACTTTTCTACAAATATTTACATGGCAACCGTTCTCAAGGACACATGGCCAAGTGGATAAGGACGTTGGTTAGATCCAGTGACTAAACCCAAAGAGATGCGAGTTCAACACCAGACTACAGTAGTGGTGAACCAAAAAACTTGGAGAGTTGAGATAAAGGAAAATAACTGAGACATCCGGAAGAGGCATGGCACGTAAAACTAGACAAATCTACCCCGTTGGACGAAATAAAGGTTTCGGTTCGAAATTGCATTCACCTGAAGAAGGCCGATGCTTACAGCAGCCGAAACGTTGTGAATATGGCAATGAAGATGAGGATAACAGTCTGAATTATATAAATAATGTAAATAATCATAACACCTCGTCTAGGTGATCTGATGAGATTTTTACCCTGGTGACCCGACTACATGAATTTAAGCGTGCTACTAGACTAGCATCAAGATCACACCTATTTATTATAGAAGTAGTGAAATGTAACCGCGACTTCTACAGTTGAACTAGATATATGCAATCGTATGTTAAATTCTAATAGTTTTTTTTTCTCTTATTTCTCGCCTGAGGATTTTACTTGCTTCGCTGATAACTACAATATTCAAAAAGTTAAATGCAACGTCAATCGCCATCTTCTGTATTCTTGAAGTCTGTCCTATTTTTTTTGCTTTCCTCAATCCCCCACTACTCAAGCCTTCATTATCTTTCACTTCATGTATTGGACAATTACATCTTCATGTAACGTCGTGCTTTCTAGTGGAATTATCAGCTTGCTTGAGGTGAAAGGATTAAACATTTTTTTTCAAACTTAAATTTAAGAGACTGTCAAATCTCAAGACCAACAAACAACGCGCTCTTTCTGCGGGATATTTTCTCTGGCTGAGTGTTGTATTTTGCAAGAACTACAGAGGAAAGCCTGAAGCAGTGAAGCATTTGATATGAAGTTTAGAGATAATAATAAACAGCTCAAGAGTACATTTCTTTAGTAATGATCCCGTGACAGACGTTTGCCTTGTGGGAATCTTATTTAGAATTGACTCAAGGACGCCAGTGACAATTGGCAGAGTCCCAGTATGTAAATTTCTCATTCTTTTAACATCTACCCTCAATGTTAGCAATTTGCGATCATTTCAACGGAAAAAAGGGTTTCCCAGATCATATACATCGCTGTGCAAAAGAGGAAATGTTAAGGATTTTGATGAATTAAATGAACAAAATTTCGGTTTTAAACAAAGTAGCGGAAATGCCTTTGAAAGACAAATATGATTACTAGGTACGATTTATACTTGAGGAAGTGGTACTGTTCTTGTCAATGCCATTGGTTTTGTACTGATTTATACTTTTTTACGGTTTACCAACCTTTTCATGTTATTTAAAACTAGAAAATATGTTTAGATTGAAAGACGTTTTTGTGGAAATTAAAACTGTTTAGAGACTCATGTCTTACAGATTGACCCATAGCTTGCGAGAACAGAGATGGATTCACACCTTTCCCATGGAAATTTGCGCGTGAATTTGTACAATAAACCCGACTGGAATTGGAAATCAGCTCTCTGATTAACAATTTAAGGTCATTACTCCAAAATCCAAACATACACCACCTCGTATTCAAAAGCTATCACCCATCTAGGTATTGACTAGGCGCGGCGTTGCTTATCTTCGGTTATCGTACGGGAACCAGTGTTTCAACATGATATGGCCGTAACCCGAAGCAATTGTTCTTTTTCAGATTTAAGTTCGAGTATTTAAAAATCAAAGTGTTAGAAGTTTGGCGCAACCCAGTCTTCTTCCTATCAAATAAATCCTTTCAGAAAAAAGAGCTTCAATAGCTAAACTAACTAAATAACTAAAACTATGTATGATATTTGTGTGTAAGACATTCAGTTACCCATACACACACTTACATAATATATGTGGCTGGACAGTACAATAGTAGTTTTCTTGTCTACGGAGATATAATAAATTATGTATCACTGCAGACTTGTACGACAGTCACTTCGCCCATTTCGTTTTTTTTTTTCATATTACTATAGGCTATTGATGCAGGTTCGAAGTAAAGCATAGCGGCCTGGATTGGGAATTCAGAGAGCCGTGATCGAATGTCAGTAGATTTCTTTATATTTACTTACATATCAATACCCTTTTGTATGTAAATTCATTGTAAATTGATCCCTCTATGGAATCCAAAATAATTATGCTCATGGAACGAGATTTCTTAAAATTTAACAAAGAATTCGAAATTGGTGCAATGGTGTAATATGGGGAAAACCATTCGAGATACCTAGAATTTTCTTCATATATTTTTTACATTTTCAGGAATCACTTGATTTTTTTTTAATTATTTATTTAAAGGAATCATATCTTATTTCCGTAGGGGAGATCAATTTATATTCGATTTAGATAGTAAAATATTAAATTTCATGAAAAATTATTTAAAAATAATATTATTCCCGTTAGGAGCTCTTAGCACAAGCTATAGATAAATAGCAGGGCAGATTGAGTGGGCAACCAATCTAGTAGATGAAAAATTCTAAATTCACATCACCTGCTGCTTTGTAGGTTCTGGCGCTTTAAGCAAAGTTTAGACAAAATATTCCAAAAAAATCCCCGTGACATGTTTCGAAGAAAGAAACTGTTTCCCCTACTTCAGACCGCAATGGAATATGATGAACTAATCGGTCTTAGCATAATGGCTAGAACAAACACAAGACTGGCATGGCGTCGTGAAACTATCTGATTTCTGACCATTCGCCAATGGGTGTATCGCCTACGGCATTTTAAACGACGATAAATTATGCATTCCTGATTATGTATGTCATTTTTTTTAATCGAATTCGATAATAGGTTATTGGGCGTCCAGTTTTGTATGTAAATTCATTGTAAATTGATCCCCCTATGGAATCCAAAATAATTATGCTCATGGAACGAGATTTCTTGAAATTTAACAAAGAATTCGAAATTAGTAAAATGGTATAATATGGGAAAAATCACTTGAGATACCTACAATTTTCTTCATATATTTTTTTACATTTTCAGAAATCACTTGATTTTTTTTAATTATTTATTTAAAGAAATCATATCTTATTTCCGTAAGGGAGATCAATTTATATTCGATTTAGATAGTAAAATATACACACTATTAAATTTCATGAAAAATTATTTAAAAATAATATTATTCCCATTCGGAACTCGTGGTGTTTAATCTTTAGTAATATAAAATAATACAAAATTTAAATCATTATTTCCGGTTGCAATGTCTATTGGACAATTACATCCTCAAAGCCATTTACGAAGAAGGCAGCGTATTCAACACTGGAAGATGAACGTAACAAAATATCTTTGTGGGTGTTAAAATCTACAAATTCACAATCTTCAAAGACAGAGCGTCTTCCATGCAGAGAATGGAACAAGAGGTCGAAAGAAACTTGTAGTAGATTATTTACTGCGTATAGGAAACCTTTACTTATATTTATTAGACAGAAATTCTATGACGTTAACTTCAGTTAATAAAAAGCGTACGGATAGTTTTGTCCGTAACTGTTATTTCCTTTTAAGTTCATAAAACGTCTATTCTGGTGATTCATCTATGCATTTAAAGATTGTTGATGAAATACAAAGAAGAATCTTCAAAGTTATCGGTCCTGAAATGGCATCTCGACTTCAGTTACATAAAGTAGCTTACTGTGAAATTTCTATAAATGTTTCATAGTAATTGTTCTGATGAGCATTTTTAAATGTTGTTATTTCATTCCTCCTCCCCGCAGACAAATTTTACATATGTGAACTAGTTATGGTTGCATACAGACTTTGAGGTATTATGGTTGCTTTATATGTTAAGTTAGAATATGTGGTATATTTGGGTCAGTAATCCTGGCTAGCTAAGTTAAAGATAACACAGATTGTAGACCAGCCTTCTCTTATCCGCCATTTTGGCCTTTTGCCATATTTTTGTATTCTATAAATATTGCTTTCTTCTATGGTAGAAAAAAAATTAAGAATTTAAGCGCTGTACTAGTTTGTCGGCAATGTTTTCTCATTTTACAGATGAATGGGATAGCTATACTATTCTATGATAACAGTTTCTTCTCTCGCACTTCTCGCTGGTGGAAATCCATTCCAGTTTCTCGCTTTCCAGTCAAATTTGATCTTCAAACATTAAACGTCACATGATATCTTCCTATGTCTTCATAATTCCAGTCCGTTTATTATTCTCTCTCCTTAATACTGTTCTTTTTTTTTCTCATATTCTTTCACACTCGGTAACCCCTTCCGTCTTGGCAGCTTCATAGTCTTGCATAGCGGGAAATGGTTAAACAAAATGCTTTTCTTCACATACATTTCAGACCGCACTGAAAAAAATTCGATTAAATAAAAATTATCTAATACACACGACTGTACAATTTTAAATTAGATTCTATCATGTAACAAATTGTTTAAGAAAGAAAACAGTAAATAAAATAAGTTGTCATAGAAAGTTAGCATCTCTTTAGAAAAACTTATCAAACGTTTCTTTTTTGTTTTTTTGTTTTTTAGATATATAAGATATTTTAAAATAAATTAAATTTAAGTATACTCATCTAAAGTGGAGACCATCTCGAATCTCTGAGTTGATAAAAGACGTTTGAACATTTTTTGAAAATGTAAAGTACGTCTGAACATTTTGTTTACTAACACACACACACACACACACACACACACACACACACACACATATATATATATATATATATATATATATATATATATATATATATATATATGCACAGGGTACGAACCAGACTCCATTTAGACTTCCTTGAGTCTGTTACAATTAATATGCAACATCCTGCTCGTGTAGACAACAAAGAGAGTTGAAACATAAGTTGGCCTTATTCGGGGAATCAGTCACCTAACTGTGAAAAAAAAATTTTTTTTTCCAATTCCCTCTACTAGTTCGGTAATTTGCATCTTAATATCAGTTGTTGGTAAAAAAAAAAAAAAAAAAAATCTTATCACCTACTTTGTTTTATTCTGCCGACGATTATATTTCTGAAGAAGTGCCGGGTGAAAGGCGCCTTAAATTTGAAACGTGGTGAAACTTTTGTATCCCATTTTAATAATGAATTATGATCTCCGACTTTAAGTTCATTTTATCCTGGTGTAGAAACAGCAACCTGTTATATTGCTGCCATATATGGTCTGGAGCCCCTTCTGTTTGCCTCGGAGTTCTTAATAAGATCCAGAGACGGATATGCAATATAATTGGCTCTGATCTGGCATCTCGTCTGCAGTCGCTCTCTCACAGATGTGTCGTCGCCTCTCTCTGTCTTTTTTACAAATACTTTCATGGTAATTGCTCCGAGGAGCTGCATTTGCTGGTTCCCAGACTTCGCGAATTCAAGCGTCCTACGAGGCTGGCATGTCACCCTTTCACTGTTGAAACTGGGAAATGTTGCCGCCTCTTCTACTTCAATAGCTTCATATCTCGCATCTCTCGCCTGTGGAACTCCCTTCCCTATTCCTGTTTCCCTGATAGCTATAATCTGTAACTATTCAAATGTAATGTCAATCGACAACTCCAGTTGCCTTGATCTATCCACTATCCTTCTCCTCATCCTTTCCTCTATCATTCCTATCTGCTCTCGCTCCAAATACTCTGTAAACCCTTGCGTGCTAGTGGCTTCCCGCCTTGCTAGGGGTGAAATGTTTATATATATATATATATATATATATATATATATATATATATAAAATCAGTATTTGCGAAATTATTTTAAATGTATTTTGCCATCACTGGAGTTAATTTTAAACATAAAAAATATTGATTAATCATGAAGAAAATATAACCTATTAATCCAAGCTTATAGAACGTAGTATTCACAAACATTAATCCATCTAAGTTGTGACCAGGCTCGACGTTGCTTAACTTTGCTAATCATACAGGAAGCGGTGTTTCAACGTGTTGTGGCCATAAGCAAGTAGCCTTAGAGAGGTTTGCTTTCGGAAAATGGAAAAATACGCCGATGGACAATTATGATAATTTATTTACTAAATATACAAAACTTTTATATCCGGAGAATGCTGTCATTTTAACGTGGTTAAGGGTTCGCAAGTTTGTCTTCCTAAGCAAGTGAGTTCGATCCTTACCGGATACTTCTTACTTTCGGCGTTGTGCCACTTATACCTCACACAACTACATCTGCGTCCTGGGTATGACGATAAACTAAATCCAAAAGCAAGGCCACTGATAAGGAGGCTTTAAGTAGCGTGGAATCACTTCTTAATTGCTGGTGTTCCCAGGCCCTGACCTGGGGTGGTGGCCCCTGTTAGGGTCTCAACTATGGGTAAATAGTTAACCCCAAACTAGGGCGTAAAAACACTATGAAAGTGGAAAAATGTAGGTTTTAATAACAGCAATATATTTTTGAAAAAAACTTAAATAATCCATTGAGGTTGATATGCAAAATAAACCAAATCCATCTAAGTAAGGAGAGGGGAGTTCCACAGACGGGAAGCGAGGGAGAAGAAGCTGTTTGAGTAGAAAAGACGGTTACATTTTAACCGTTTTGACACTGAACGAGTGGGACCGAGATGCCATTCTTGTAGCTCGCTTAAATGAATGCAGTCGAAGGACCAGCGAAAGTAGCTCGTCGGCACAGTTGCCGTGAAAATAGTTGGAGAAGAGACAGAGGGAAGCCACGATACGTCTGTGGGATAGCGACTGTGGACTAGATGCCAGATCAGGACATATCATCTTGTATATTCGTCTCTGGATTATTGTCGAAGACCTCAAGACGTACAGTGGGAGCACCAGACCATATATGACAGCAATATTTCACGCAAGGGCTGATGCTTGATTTATAGATTTGAAGGAGGGACTCGAATGAGAAAAAAACTTTTTGGCCCGACACAGAGAACCAACTTACCTTGCGGTAGATGAAGCCATTGATTCAATTTATTCCACCACATGTCAGTGAACAGCATGAGACCAAGCAGGCGCAACGAGGCGCTCTCGAGAATTTGGGATCCTGCTATTCTGATGATAGGCAGGGAGGGTTCTCTGTGGATAATAAAGGAGAGCAGTTTTGTTTTGGAGGCATTAGCTACAGAAGCATCAATTACCTTTTCTTTTCTTTTTTTCTTTTTGTCCTGCTCAATACAAGATCATAAAAATATTACATTATTTAAAAAAGTAATTATTATTATGTTAAATCAAATTGATTTTTATCTAATTGATAACTTTGTGGCACGCTGTATCTAGCCTCACGCTGGGAATACCTTATTTTAGTAAATATCTTAGAGTTATAAAAAAATACGAAGTGTGCACTTCACCGAAATAAAAACAAAAATAAGCGAGAATCAGGCAAACGATCACGATAAATGGCGACCAAATGTTAGAAAAAACAAAATAAAATAAATATGAAGAGCAGAGTGTTAAACGCAAAATGATCTGTAAAAAGAAAAAAGAAACGCCCAAAATGTTGCCGCTTTTACTAATCTTGCACTATGAGCTACGCATGCGCAATGAACCAAACTCCACTATCAAACGTTAGGCACGGATACAAGATAAAGCTAACTGACGATCTTTTTGATAATGTACCAATCGCACTCTCCACTCATAAAGAGTAAAAAAAAGAACAATTTCTTCTTTTTTTTTTTGCAAGTGTTTCTTGATTAGTTTGATTTTTATTGATAGCTTTGATTTTCCTGCTTCATCTGTTTTCTTGCCTTCAACATGGCTGCTACGATTTCACCTATTTCATTATAGTTTTCTCTTATTTTACTTTACATATTCTTTTTTTTCTTTTTTCTCACTGTTTTTGCTTTATTTCGTTTTGTTTATTTTATTTTCGCAGCTTATCTCTCTTCTCTCGATAATTCTAACACCCCTACCACCAACACTATACTTTAAAAAACAACAGTTTCTGCAGTCTCTGCTACTGCTACTGCTAATAATCTAATTTCTTTATAATACAGAAAGTTATACTGCTCTGCACTTCACTGCTTTCACTTTCATAATATTTTTCACTCTTCTTTCTTTCTACTCGCAATTTCGTTCCCATATCCATTCATTTTCCTCGTCATTTATTTGGTTTAAAAAAAAAATATCATTATTTTTTTCACTTTGGATTTAATCATTAATCTTTTGTTTACAGTTATATTTAAGAGATTCTGATTCCGTTTTTTCAAATATTCTTATTTCTGCAAATTTGTAAAGACTTTCTTTCTGTAAGGAAATCTTCTGTCATCATCTGTATTTAGTTCCTTCTCGGAATCTTTCGTATATTCTTCCTTTCACTCCAATCTATTTTCGCTTTCTGATTCCCCCCCCCCCTTTTTCTATTAATGTTTTCGGTTTTATTAATTATATCGTCTTCGTTCTACTGACCTCCTCTCACGTCTTTCAGTTTTTTTTTTCTTATCTTCCTCAACTGCTCACTCCTTTCTTTCTTCTCGTGCTCTTCTTTCTTTTCCTCTTGACCACCACCTTTTTTCTCCTCTTCCTCTTACTTCTTGTTCTTGTTGTACTTGTTCTTCTTCTTCACCTCCACATGCCTCCTTTTCTTTTATTCCGCTCCGCCTTCTTATCTTCCTTTTCTTCTTCCTCCATTTTGTTCCCGGCTTCCTCCCTTTCGTTTTTCTCCTTTTTTCCTACCTTTTCTTTACCTACACATTCTTCTCCTCAACCGCCACCTTCTCCTCGGTTCTCCTCCCTTGATTCTATAAGCCTACCCCACTTCTTCTTTACACCTCTTATCCTTCTTCCTTTTATTCCCTCCCACCATATGTTCTACTTTCACGTTCTTCTCTTTCTCTTCATCTCCCCCTTACATTCCTTCGCCTCCTTCTTATCGTGTTCTTCTTCCTCATCCTCCTACATTTACTCCCTTTTCTTCTTACCCTCTTTTCTCTTTACTTCTACATCTTCTTCGGATCCTCCTCTTCTTACCTTCTCCTTTTTTTTCACCTTCCACCTTCTTCTTCCTTTCTTTATTCTTCACTTCCACATTTTTCTATTGTCCCTTCTCTCCGTCGTCGTCTTCTTTCCTTTCCACCTCCTCCTCCTCTTCTTATTTCCTCCTATTACACCTTTACTCCTTCCCTTTCACTTTCCCTACATACACACTCTTCTTTATTCTCTTCCCCACCCCTCTTTCTCTTTCTATGCCTTTTCCTTCTTTCTCTATAGTATTGCATTAGTATTCTTTATTCCTTTTCTTCTTATTTTTACAGATTTAGGCATTACATTTCTCTGTTTCTTCACCTCTTTCTTTTCCTACCGCCTAATTCTTCTTTACCATCAACATTATGATCTTATTCCTCATATGCATGTTCTTTATTTCTTCCAAACATACATTCTTTTTATGCCTCTTTTATTTTTGCAATCATCTCTCTTTTAATTTTTTGTCTCTGCCTTCCTCTTCTTTACCTCCATGTCTTTGTTTCGTCCTTTCTCTTTTATCGATATCCCCCTTTTACATTTCATCTTGTTCAAATTCAACTTCCTGTCTAATTCCTCCGCATGATATTTTCATTCGTCATCCCTTTCTTCATTACAATCTCCATTTTTTTTTTTTTTTTGGCAGCAACGTTTCCTGCCCAGGATATATCATCTTCCATTTCTCCTCATCCTGCTTCTCCAAATTCCTTCTTATTCTTTTTTTTTTTATATTCTGTATTCTGTTTGTTATTTATTTGTTTTATTTCGTTTTCTATTCTTCCGTTTCCTCGTCATTCTTATTCATTCCTTTCCTTTTCTTATTTTTCTTTCTTTTATTAGGTTCTTATTATTTTTACCTTATTCCCCATGGCACCAAGATGCAGTTATTGGCAACTCTCGAACACGCAGGATCGCCTACAGTCTTTTCCATGCCAACGTTTGATTGCAAGTGCTTCCCGTTCGTCTTCACACCTCAACGTGTGCTGAAGTCTCATCAGCTATTTCTTTTCTTTTTTCTTTTCTTTTTTTTTTTTTTGAAGACTTTTGGACACAAGCTCTTCTTTTTAAAGAAAATACTTTTTCTTTCATATATTTTCAGGCATTTTCTTATTGTTCGTTATTTGCCATGGCTTTACGTTTTACAAGTCAACGCATGTGCATTAATAGCGAAAAATCGTTGATCACAAGAAAAGAAAAGAAAATCAATCTACAAGAAATAAACAGTACTCATATTATTTTATTATTTGGTTTTATTCTATATCTGGGAGGAAACGAGACAATATTGACATGGACGATAGTTTAAACATATATTGATAACACAGTATCTCCAAACGAGAATTGAAATTAACGCTGAACATGCATAATGTCATATATCTGAATATATAGAGCAAAATTAGTTGGGATGTAAATTATGCATTCTCCTAAATCATGTTCAGCCATCCATTTACACAAACAGATAGAAAGTGAATTCAGTAAACATACAGAAATAGAAAGGAGTGTAGGACAATGACATGTCTTCTCACCGGACTTATTCAACCCATTCTGTGCGTCGAGGCAAAAACAATCCTGCTTTGAAAAATGTCGTCTGGTGCTACAGAATCAAAAAGAAAAAAATGTACCAAATAAAAGAAACTACATCATTTGAGCACTACCAACTGCTGGAACGACTGTAATTGATAGCACATGCAACTTGAAGATAATGATATAATCAAGTAGTTGCACACTACTTCAAACAAAATGTTAGGAAGGAAAATCCCATCAATATTGGAAAGGGCAATAGCAGCTACTGTGCAAGATGTAAAACCTATTTTCCTGAGAAATAAAGACAATTATTTTAAGAGACGGATTATATCAATTTCCACAGAAAGCAGTAATGCCTGTTCGGTAAATGAATGCCAAATGTTTCCTCATAGGAAACGGCTAATATTATCATTATAATTGCCATTACGTTTCACTGTTGACAGGCAAAATCTTAAGAACATACGATACGCAGATGACACAGTGTTTATAGCAGACACGAAATGGGACTTCCTACAAAATGTAATGAAGGAAAGCGAAAAGAAAGGGCTAATCAACAATTACAAGAAGACAGAATGTTTGGTTTTCAGAAAAAGAAATAAACGAGCATGCGAATCCCAAATAGGAAATACCAAAATGAACTAAGTACAAAAAATTTAAAAATATTAGAAGTTGTTTAACAGGGGTCAGTAAGTTCGACCCCAAATACGAAGTCGCATATGGATAGCGAAAACAGCCTTCCAAAACCGAAGCGGCATATTAAGACACAGTGAAATTCATTAGAAACAAAGACAAGATTACTTAAGTCTTATATAATAACAGTCTTCATATGTACCAATGGAAGTGTGAACATTTCCTCACAGATGAGGCAACAGTAACGTGGTTCTACGGAAGGATGCTAGGAATACCATGGATCGAACATGTGAGCAACGACAAAGTTTTTGAGAGAATGGAAAAGAAAGAAGCTGTTATATTTAACATAAGAGAAGGTTAAAATTTCTACGGCACAAAATGAGGAAAGTGGGCTTAGAAAATTGTCCTTTAACCATATTGTTGTGGTAGGATCCACCTAATTTGCATAGTGGAGTACCGACCATATAAATATGGTTGGTACCGGGAAGAGAGGGAGGAATCAAGAGATTCAACCAGAGAATCTGCCCGACTGCGACTCAGTCAACACATTCTCCAGGAACGGTCTTACCAGGAATATACAAAAAACTATACGTAAATATTGTGTACACTTTCTTGTTTCAATACATTTTGTTCTAAGTACATATTGTGTTGCATTATTATTCCATGCATTAGTCAAGTTTCAACACAAATATAGCGTGTATTAGTATAGTATAGCTGGCATTCGAGGATACCCGTCTACTCGTGCGGCTAGCCAATGCCTATTGCAGACACTTACTCAGACGCATTTGTGCTTATTCAACATCCACAGAACACACCTGTTGTTTATAATGCAACTTGCTGAGCAGACCTTAGTTACAGTTTCTGGGAAAGAGCGTGTTATCTCGCGTTATCAACAATTTGAACACGACCACCGCGCTCATGTCCTCGGCCACGATTACTTGTAATTTCGTGCTAGCAAAACTATCGACGGTCCCCAAGGGTTCAGCCTACCCAATTTCCCTCCCGTGGTATGGTTTTCACCTTGGACCGACACTCCAGTCCGATAACATCAGGAAGTTTACTTCCTGGCAAATCGACCTTGGTGAGATTCGAACCTGAGTCACGTGGTCAGAATTCGAACGTTGCCCATTAAAGTGAGTATTACTTAAAATCCATTGACATACTGCTGTCTCTTAATGATAAAAACTATCAGGCTATGTCACGTGCAAACTACGGTTTGCCTGCCACTTGTGGCTCTATTGACTTTCTGGATGCCACGCCTAAGTTTATAAGGAAAATAAAGTTTATTAAAATATCTTTGTTCTCACTTGTTCACTCACACACTCTCATGCACATTACCACATATAGAAAGACACTTCGACTTGGTCTAATAGTTGGAAAATGTGTTTCGCTAGATCAACTAAGACTGAATAATTAGCTTGATCCTTCACTTAGTGCCTACATCTTAGCTACGCTTAGAAGATCATCAATTTCGATCCTTATTTTGCACACTACCGACCTTGAAAGTACGTATCCAAAATCAATATGATGTAACACCAAAATTGTCCAAATTGTGTAACAGCATAATTGTCCATCCCAAAAATGTTTAATATCTAAAAACATTTTTCCGGGATTTCAGATGAGATTTTTAGCCATCTTGATACCATTTTTCGTAAGAATCACTGAAAAACCATTAAAGAGAGAACAGATTAAAATATTTTCGTGTCAGACCCGATGTCTTCTCAACTGAGCAATGGTGAGAGGAAAAAGATCATTCAGGCCTTCATTAATGGTACCAACATTAATACTCTGGCTCCCATCATCAAAGTATATTCAAGAATCATCCAAGAGAACGGTGAATAAGTTTTAAAAAGAGATTAACAGAAGAGAGGAAAACTGGATCAGGAGATCACAACAGCAAGAGCTAAAGAGATCAATATCCAAATCAAGCCATAAAGACATTTGTCACGTGAGAGAGGTGTTTCACTTATGACAGTCTAAAAGCAGTGAAAAAGACTTGAAAATGAAATCGTGCATGAAACGTGTGTAGCAACATGTTACTACAGGGCAGAAAGTTAGAAGGTTAAAGAGGGCAAAGATCATCTCAAATAAGTTGGAACATGATCCTGGAATAATACATATATATATTTGAACGTAATTTCAACCCTTCATGACCTTCCGGTCCTTAGCAATGATTAATTAATGATGGACATATCATTTTCGTCTATGATTCATTACATCACGATTCTTCTGTTAAGCTTGGAGAGTAATTATACAGTCTTATTGCTCAAAGTAACCTCGGATAATTCCAGCAAGATATCTTTTCAAGATACAACTGTTCAGAGCTTAATCAAACAATTATACAATTTTGCTGTTACACGATTTGGACAATTTTACTACTACACGCGGTATATAAGAGTACTTCGTTGTGATTAGCTAGCTCTTCCCGTTAGATCAATTACGACTAAATAGTCACTTTGATCCTCATTTAGTGACTCACACTTCTGGCTCTGTGCCACATCTAAGCTACGCTTAGAAAATCACTAATTTTAGTCCTCATTGAGTTCTGCATACTTTCGGACTTATAAGTATTCTTCCAAAATCTATATTTATGAGCGTACTTCGACATGGTGTAATGGTTAGCAAGCTTGTTTCTCTAGAAAAATTACGACTGACTAGTGAGTTCGATCTTTAGTGGGTGCTCAATATGTTCGGTCTTGTACTGCCTTTAAGTTACGCTTACAAAAATCACCATATAACCACATATATATATATAAAAAAAACAATGATTATGTACAATGTTTCTTGAATCTTGCTACTTTTTCTAGAAGCTAACGTTCTACAATTTCCAGTAAGGGAGATCATACATCACTTGCTGCAGAAACAGAAACAGGAAACGTCTTTGATAAAAATTTTCTCTGAAGAATAAATATATTTCTTCTTCTATAAATATTTTTGTATCCTCCAATGAATAAATACGAAACAAATCACACGCCACAGTGTGAGATTTACACTCTGTCATCAGTGATAATATTATTCTAAGACTTCAGTTTTGTTTTTTAATTGTAGAAGGAATCTTTTCATCAAAGAAACAAAAATCGATTTTTCCATTATTTCTAAGTCAGATGCTTATACGCAGGTTCTTTTCTTGGGGAAAAATGGATACGATATCTTTAAAGAAAAAAAAATCACTTATTTTTATTATTATTATTTTTATTTTCTTTGATTTCTGGCGTTTACTCATTTCTTTTCGGGTCCCGCCCAGGACCTAAGTTTAGAAATGGCATCATGACACTTTCCACTGAAAAAAAAAAAAAAATATATATATAT